GTGGCAGTGAGACTGTGGTGTTGAAGCAGCAGCTGTCAAATAACTTCTCGATCGAGGCTGTCGAAGTTCTCTTCAAAGTTAATGAAGTTGAGGTAAGATAGAGAGTTGACTGGCATTCTATACTGTGTTCTATGATGATGCGTAGCTGAGTGTAGCGTTGCAATTTGGTCCACACATGATTTGTTCTTCCTGAAGCCAGCCAGCTAGCCAACCAGCCTGTTCCGGTGGTAATTTTGAAGCTAGCGCACCCTTTAGTTTCCCCAGGATGATGTGGTTTAATATTTTGCTTGGGTTGGACACCAGCATGACTCCTCGCCAGTTCTTGCGGAGACTTGGGTCGCACTTCTTTTCGAGTTTGTCAAGGTAGCTCAGTGATAGTTCCCTGGCTAGGCTGCTGGTGGTATTTCTGGATGAGTTGCAGATAGTGGTGTTGGTCTGCATAGGAGTTTTTTTAAGCGGTCAGCCGACTGTTTCCTTTGTTTCTCCTCTTTGTTAACTAGGTTTCCTTCACTATCTTTCATTGCTTTCGTCCGCGTTGATCTCTTCTCTCACAGACAATAACCTGGTTATTCGATATAATGCTGTCAGGTCTCCGTCTCTCCTACATGTAGCCTGTTCTGCTTCACTTGCCAGTGTGTCGTAGAAGTGTCTTTTATCTTTCCACACACTCTTCTTCACTTATTTGTGCAGTGTTTTGTACGTTGTACTACGTTCCTCTTTTCGTTGTTCATCCCTGCACTGCATTGCACTGGTTCATCTTCTGCTTCACCATCTTCCTCTCTGTCCTCTATCAGTTTCCGCGTGTCCTAACACGGTTATGCAGGTTTCCTTCCACATCTCTTTCAAAGAGTTCCAGTGTTCTTCCACACCCGATCCCTCAGGGATATTGCTCAATGTCTCCCATCTTTTTCTGATTGTTGACTGGCGTGAAGATGTCCTTTGAAGCTTCGTCCTTCAGTTCATTTTCTGAGAGTTGAACTTGAACTGTGGTCGTCTATCACCAACTTGTTTGAAGGCTTTCAACTTGATTTTGAAGGTAGGTTCCTTGCACTAGATGGTGAGTAGTGTGAACCTACTTGCATCTGCTCCCCTTCTTCATCTTGTATCCAGTAGGCCGCGTCTCCATCTACACTTTCTTCACATTGAAATGAAGTCGATCTGATTTTCAGTGTAGTGTGTCCATCTGGTGACATCAACTCCATGTGACTTTGTGAGTATCCTTGTGTTTGTACACACTGCCTGGCCTCCAATCACCAAATCGTTGAATGCGCAGAAATCTGCAAACAATTCTCCATTCTCCCTCATCATTTCACCGAGTGCTTCTCGACCAGTGATAAGTTCTCTTCCTGTGTCGTCAGCTCCCACTTTGACACTCATGTCACCCCACCCACTAGAATTTTGATGTCGCCATCTCGAGTGGAGTTTTGTCTATTACTGGTTGCAGTTGTCTGTAGAATTCCTCCTTCTTCTCTTGATCTGCATTGTTTGTATGTGCATAGCGTAGCATTGTATGATTGTAACTTTCCTTCCTTCCGAGTTGAATCTCGCTGTCATGATCCTGGAGGAGGAGATCGGTTCCCACTGTATGAGAGAGAGAGTGCCTTCGATGTTGTTGGAGACATCATGATGGTCACTCGAAAACTCAGTGTGTTCGTGGTTGTCATCTGGGTGACAATATCGGAGTAGATTATTGACTCTCCTGTCAAGAGTTTGGAGATTCCACTTCTATTCCACCTGCTTTCGCAGATTCCTAACACTTCCATGCCATATCTTCTCGTCTCTTTTGCAATCTGGGCAGCCTTGGTGGGTTCATGCATTGTGCTGACATTCCATATCCCCATTCTTACTTTTGCTTTCATGGAGAGAATAGTAGACACATTGGCCGACTGGCTTTCTGAAGGCTTTCACCAACTGGCATCATTTAGTCTCTCCGATTACAAAGAGGAATAAGTTTGTTTTCACTTTTTTATATTTTTTCATGTACTTTGAATTTTTTTTAACGACTGGATTTGTTTTCCAGTGTAGGGTTGCTAGGCCTTAGCTTAACCTTCCCTCTTTACCTGGGCTTAGGACGTGTTAGTAACGAGTGAACTAGTCAACCAGGCGAGGTTATTCGTAATCATTATTTAGTTGGTTTCCGACACAGTTTGGCGAGTAAAACACTGTTGCGTTGTGGTTGGATGTCTCTTTGAACAGACTTATACCTTGGCCTTTTTTACTTGAATGTTTGCAGACTAAGTTATGTTTACAACGGAGATTATCAGAGTTGACAGGAAACCTTCGTCAAGTAGTGAAAAAAAGTAAAAGGAGGAGAAATGAAACGGGGATATCGCCAGTAACCGTGCCTCACATTTCAGCCTTTGAATCTTTAGGTCGTTACTCATCCTTTGAGCACTGTAGTAACCTGGGTGTTTTTTAAACTCATCGTTGTTGGGACATTTTATAGAGAATCAATTGATTGGAAGGTACTTTAGATCATGGCTTTGTATCATTGGAAGATATACTAAAATTAGAAGAGTATTGAACAGCTGTTTCATCTCAAGTCTGACACTACTTAATAGTGAGCGTAGACTATTTATGTACGATTCAGATCAACGGCTGTAGATACCACAGCGACCACTTTATAAATAAACCATTGTACAGGTATCCAATGAGTGACACTTACCAACACTTTCAGGCACCAAACATAGTGTCATTGACATTCATTGTCACTATTGGGAATCCTTTCTTTTTCTTACATAAATATCCGAGCATCAGAATAATAATTCAGTACCCGTTAGTGACTGACTGCTAGATAGATTTCCAAAAGTTTTGGTGTCAGGTCATAGGCTGCTGAAGCAAGCATGTAGGAAATAAAGATTTTTGTTAAAGTAGCGACATAGTAGTCACGCCTTTTCTTACATCGACTGAGAATGAAACAATGGACATTTGATTCCAACAAAGCGGATAAATAGAAGCGTGTTCAGTAACTGCTTGGGCACACATACTTACAGCCTGCCAATCTGCTTGAGTGTAATTTTATTGGTCGCTTGATGAGCGTATAGGAGTATGTTGGACCTGATTGGTTGACTTTTTACTTCCAGTTTTCTCAGACAGTTGTGCAACTATGTGACTGGTTGATTTCTTTTGTTTGCTCACAGTATGAACTGGAGGTTATAAATATCTATGCACAACCAATTAGCTTACTTTTTTGTGAAACTGTTACATTAATGATGGTGTCTAGCAAGACACTGAAACGTTTGCTAACTTAATTCCTATCTCAGATGGCAGCTCAAATCATACCGTGACAACGTTTTGCTTAATGTGACTAAATTTGTGAAACTAATAACTACACAATAACTTGCAGGATTTTTATATTTTAAGTTTTTATATGTATTGACCAACTATTTGAAAGAAGTTATTTCTTTTTCTGGCTCACAGGGACAATCTTAATCATCACTATTTTCAAACTACAAGTAACAGGAATATTCTGTGAGTGTTGATGACTGGTGGTGAATAGTAATGGAATCCATAACTTGTGTTTCCTATGTGGGCTTTGCCAACTTAATGTATGTACGTTTCAGTAAGCGGATATATTCCCATTGAAACTGGAACCTAGTACCCACTATTTCAGATACCAGAGCGTTATCCACTAGGCTGCTGAGTTACGATAGCCACTTCTAGTGCAACGAGTATGGTTTGATATTGGAACTTGCTATTTCTCATTGCTGACTGGCTTGGGCCTTACTGACCAGCCTATATTACCTGTTGCTGGATCATTTTCATCCAAAACCAAATCGAAAATAATACGTTTCAACATAATTTTTGAATATCCTCTCAGGTTCATCCCAGAAAACACAAACAACACTCTGAAACATTCCCTTTGATTCCATTTTAGTCTGTTTATAAGAGATATCACACAATGAAACAGTAGCATTTACTGGATAACGTTTCCGACACAATTTATTGTCCATATTCATATCAGGTAACTCCACAACTTCGAGACAGTCTTTATATATTCCTAGTTTTTTCTCCTTCTCTGTGATGACAATCGTAGTAGAATCTTCTATATATCTGGGACAGATGCAGAATTATTTCGATTGCATGTATTTCGAATCACTGCTTAAACTTCGAATCCTCCCACCCATTTCAGTTAGAGTAGGCCTTGTTAAATGTTTAAGTCTACAATATTCATACCTTTCGCCGCACATAATGAAAGTGTCCTTCATATGCTTGATATACAGGTGAAAACAATCAATTCTTTAGGCGTGATACTATGTTTCATAGGTTTAGCAATAAACAGTCTGCTGAAAAGGAATGGATCAGTAACCACATTAGACAATCCACCCACTTGTCTGTAGAAATTTGTGTCAACTTTGAACTAGGCATTAAAAATGCATTTTATGAGTAGTTCTTTAAACAATTCTTAAAAAACACCAAAGTTGAAATTCTTATCTTCAATCGCGTCGTCCAGGAAACAAATGGACTCAGTAGGTCTTTCTACAGAGAAGAAGGGGTTAGATTCAGAGAAATAGTTCATTGGTATTATTGAATGCGTTCAATGAAGCGAAATGAATTGGACAGTCCTAATATTGAGATGGTTTCTGGGGAGTTGTAAGATATCAGTGTGCCACTTGGTGTTAGCACGGTATGACTAGTTATGTGTGTAAATTTGGATGGAGTGGGACAATCTATTTAATCACTTTTAGAACACCGTAAAGTCGAGGAACTGTCACAACACAGAAGGATAGCTAGTGAAATAATTCCGAGCTAATTATCAAAACTTCAATGAACTCCTGTTCTACTCCCGTCTATTCCATTGACGGAAGTTCAGAAGTGTAGTCTACAGGATTAATCAACAGGATTCCAGTACATTCAGTAAGGGGAACAAAAATCCACAGCTCTACTCTTCAAGATATTTCATAGTTGTTCTTTATACTCTTCTGACAACAACCATTTGATTTTGATACACTTTCTTGTTGGCATCAGTTCACAGTGGTTGACTTGAATTGTTCTAAATCCTATTTCGAACTGGTAATGAAATCTTCTAATTGAAATTTCAATTCAGGACTGTTGAGAGTTCTCAGAGTGACCTTGAAATTTGTCACCATTTGTATTTGAAAGGAACTCGATGAGTGATATACTGCAATAGTTAAAAAGAAATTTTTCCAGTGTTTCAGGAAGACATGATTATGTTTCTGTTGGTATAACACTTTATCACATAACCGTTTTCATCTTCGTCTAGAAATATATCCCAAGCATCACTGTTATTATGCAATATTTTAATTCCTTGTCAATCAGAAGTAGTCATCATGTTAGCAGATTTACAGTCAGATAAAATGTTGATTATTGAACTTACTTTGATATCCGACAGATGAAAAGAGACATGATCAACCATCCATGGATATAATACGAGGAGATAATATATTGATTGGTTACTGAAGGGTAACCAGTTTCACATTATCTAGTTTTCAGTGCTGACCGAATTTTATCGATCATTTCGCACCGTGGCTATCAAGCTAGGAGGTTCACCATTGTGGTGTAATTCTAAGGATGTTAGTTGAATGGGGGCAACCAGAAGGAAGTCTGGTCTGACCTAGGTTTTTTGCTTGTTGGCAGTTGTCAGCAAGGAGTGTCTACAACCTAGAAGGAACTGGTGGTGCACAATGATGAACCTCCTAGCTTGGTGGCCACATTGCAAAATGACAGTCTCAGTCCTTCCGAAAGGTCGGTCACGGTCCGAATAGCTCACTGGTACAGACCCTGACTGCAATACTGTGTGATACGGTTTCGAATCTCAGAGGAAACATTAGTTCCGTTGAGGCTGCATATGTGCCTTGCTGACGAACGCAAAAAAGCACGAAACCTAGGATTAGGGCTTTCTGCCAACTACCTCCAACCAGCTGACGAGGAGATAATGCACAACAACCTCATTAACAGAAAGGGAGATAATAAAAGGCGGATTCCTCGTCGTGTACCGTCATTAATAGTAACAATAGAATCATTGGTGGCATCAGCATTCTCATAACCATCATTCATAGAATAATCGAAGACATAAATATTGGTATCTGTATCACCGTCATCAACGTACACACCATCACCACCATCATTATCGAGAGCAGCAATATAATGGTCAGTATTCAAATCATCCGCATCACAATCACTGTTACCATCGTTTGTTATAACTACACTGGATAAATAAACAAGCTGATAAAGTATTTGAATAAACAAATTAACTTTTTGCAAACTAAAAAAAAAATCAATTTCATTAATCACATGACTTGCTTCTTTCTTTGTTTGAGTTTTCTTTCTTCTCATAAATGTCCTAATTATAAAGAATAATCAATAATCAATAAAAAGCTGACTTGCTGTCATTTTATTGATAATAATAGTAATAATAATAATCGTCTTTTATCTTCGTCTTTCTTTTCCATTTCAGTATTCAATAAACTACTTGGTTGGTACTAAGGTAAAGAAGTATTCATGAAAAATCTTAAAACATATTTGATTAGTGCGAATTTTATTGTATTTTGGCTTAAATTCAATCGATATTCCATATTTCTGTTATCTTTCTTTGAATATTGATTAGATAAGTAGGATAAGTATGAACAAAGAGTGGATTTCTTGATTGCATTGGAACGGCAACTTGTCAGTGTCTAGCCTATCTCATGTTTAGTAATGATGGGCAGTGGCTAGCAGTGGAATCCAGGATGCGCATTTCGTCCTATTTGGGACTTGTCAGCTGAATGTACCTGCTTCCCAGTGAGTGATGTTGTTCCCACCGGAACTCGGACTCGGGAGCGTTCGCTTCAAACGCCAGCGCGTTATCCACTACATCACCGAGCCACGATAGCCACTTCTTGTGCGACGGGTATAGGTTTAGTGTTATTGCTTGTATTACACCTATCTCATGTCTATTTTAATGGGGATTCAATCATATTGACAAACACCCAACAGATATTTGTCTCTTTTCGGCATATAAGACTTGTCGAACCATTTACTGTCGGATTAGTGTTCGTCAAGCGGAATGATACATCGAGACAAGGTGAGTATCTTACTGAGAAGGTAGTCTGTGTACCATACTGGCTGATGAGTTCATACAAGCAAAAACATACTTTTATAAGTCTTTGAAAATTAATTATTTTCTGAATTTTTATTGCTTTAAAAACTAGTCATTTGATTTGAAAGATTTTCTTAGTTTTGAAATCCTGTGACACTGTGACTATTTCATAGGTTTGAAATTTACTACTTAAAAAAACCTTATGGACTTACTGATTTTATCTGGAGGTTTGCGGAGGTTTATTAAGTTCGGGTTGGAATTCATCATAGACTGACACCAGGTGGAAGAACATTGGAAACCTAGGAGCACTGGGTAGCTGTTTCGTCCTTGTATGTGCCTCCTCAGCAGTGCACACCCATAACCCCACCCCATTCTGTCAGGGGTCGAACCCAGGATCTTTAGGTTCCGTGGCCAGCACGTTACCATTCAGCCACTGGGTCGAAGTCCAATGGTCCATATTTTTAACTCCTGTCAGTTTACGATATTATGCGACCTACATCCAATATCGTTGTTGAGTAACTGTCCTCATGTTCGACTTGATTGACTCCAATGGTCATGACTTCGCATTGGAACTTTGGGAATCACCTCTCGAAGCTAGCCACCAATGAGGAGGTTTGTAGAGTTTTATTTATTGATTTCAGGTTGGGATTCATCATGGACTGACGTTAGTTGGAGAAACATTAGAAACCTGGAAAAATAACAACCTGAACTGCATGTTGTTTCTTTGTCAACAGCTTGAGGTGAATGAAATAATCTCTGTCTGTTTGCAGTGAAATGTCTCAGATTATTGAGTCAATTATTTTTACCTCAAATTTACAGCTTTTTCATACACATATTCCTTTTTATGTAGTCGAATAGAGAAATATTGATTGACGCAGAATAATATAGTGCCATTTTATTTCGCTTGTATCGCATCACCTGCTTATAACCTAAAAATATTTAGATAAGATTTTACAAAAGAATTAGAACACACTTTTTTGCAGTTACGTGAAGTTAACAAGGAATAAAAATATCTAAATAAAGTTAACAAGACATGATAAGAAGTTTCAGTTACATATGTATCAGTTTCGAGAGAAGAACATGAATAATTATGAACGATTATATAAAAAGATTAACAAGTCGACTAGTTGATGATAAAGAACAGACAAATTGTGTAATGATAAATTAAGTTGAACTTAGTTGTTAGAAAGATCATCAACATTATGTGCAAACAAAGAAGGGGGTTCAGTCAAAAGATAACGTCATGAAATAAGAATAAAATGTTAAGTACCAGGGCAAAGAAAGACTTATCATTGTTTCTTTTTGAACACACCATTCCAGTTTACGTCCTTTGTTGGATGTGGCCACAGCGAACTCTGAAAGGTTTGAATGGCGTTTTGTTTTATTACCTTGAAAGATTTTAAGGCATTCTAAAGGATTTTAAAGCGACTGCATCTCACTTTTTAACGTCTCGTTAACTGGATGTTCGCGTCCTTTGTTGAACTATGTCATTCCTTGTCAATAAACTTCATGTAACTGCAGAAAAGTATTCCCCAATTCCTTTGCAACATGATGTTTAAATGTTTTATGGTTGAAATCAGCGGATGAGAGACGAACGAAATAAAATGGTATCACTTTATTCATTTTCAATCGTTGTTTTTTCTCTATTGAAATTTAGAGACGCTTATTAATATTGAGTTTTCCTAAATTGATCCACAAGCAATGTCATACTATAGCAGGGTATAGATTTATTTCTCAGATATCTGGCCTCAGTCTCCATGTTCTTCATCATTTACCAAATAAATTAGCCTGGAACCTTGAAAAAGGCTATGCTAATTGGCAGATTTAATCCCACGATTAGTATGATTGACTAAGTGATGAGTTTTATTATGCCACCACCCTATGAACTTCGAGTTTCCAAGGTAGTATTATTTACTTTTAGGCTACGGATGCATTATTCCAATATGTACCAGAACGCAAGGGAACTTTCAGACATACCTTGCTAAGTGAGTACAATAGTCTTATATTAAAATAGGTGTTATTAAGCCATTCAATCATTCAGTAACATTGAAGATCTCATCAGTGGCACAGATAATAATCAGGATAGTCAAACAGTGAATGGAAACTGAGTTCTCTTCTCAGTGATTTCAATATAGTTCACATTCAATCAAAATTAAAATAACTGAAGGGACACTGTAATCTGTATGATCTTATGTGCTGAGATTTCAGATAATCCTGAAGAAGAATATATATTTGAACCTTCATTCAATATACCTATTACATGGTGAGTAGAAACTCGAAAACAGGCTGATAAATGTTTAGTATTCTACTGAAGCTCTCATTCATGCAAAATGTGTCACAATAAAGTTCAAAAGTACTTGCGTACAAACTAACACCTTGATAGTGCTTCCATACAACCCATACTATGATTGGACTATCACGTGATTAGTCAGATCCTAAAGCTTACGTCAACTAGGTGATTGTTAATTTTCGATTGCTTTTTGTTTAGAACAAGTAACATGTGAAATGACTACTGATCATGTGTCTTTCCGGTTATATATTCAGTATGTTAGTAAATAGTTTATTCTGTTGAGTGGGATAGTTCAGTGATCCAAATCCTTTGCATTTTTTATTCATTCAGTTGGGCTGTATAGTCTGTAATCACTCAGCAGAGTTATGTAGATATAACTAATCAGACAGTTTTTAACTGTTTGGTCTGTTTGGCCAATCTGTATTTGTCTCAAATGAACGTGTTGCTTTCAACATGCATCACATTAGAAAAACTCTTGATAGGATGGTCCATGTTGAAGTTTTCGACTTGTCATCTACTATCAGTACTGAATTTCTGCCACCACGAAAAGAATTCCTTTTCACCAATAGACTTAAACATGTAATATTGTTTAAATATGACTGAAAATGTCATTCTTCAACAATCCAGTAATGTACTTACTTTACGGCTTACATAATCCCATTATGTTCCTTTAATGAACTCATTTAACTTCAAGGTAGTATTCATCACTGACCTTGAAATAAATAAATTTTAACAAATCTCAAATTGAACTTATTTCGATTTTAAACTCCTTTGATCTATAAATACAGCTTGAGCGACATAAACATTGAATATCATGAATTTCTAGGATCACTATACAGAAATCGCTAATTTTTACATTTATAAATTAGTATTGTCAATCAATTTTCATGAAGTAATATTCAGAAGATATTAAAGTGGTATTTAACACGGATATCAGCTGGAGAATCTGGGAGTACTGGATTTTCAGATGTTCTAACTAGAAGTTTTGACTCGTGAGGTTATCCTAGTCGATTGTGAAGACAAGTATCTGCTGATGGTACTGAATGGTGGTTGTACTGTATCATAAAATCAACACAAGTAGAAAAATGTGAATCGCAGCTGAATGATGACGTGTTTACCACGAAACCTCAAGGTCCTGGGATTGATTCCTTGTAAGACCCTTGTTGTACACTGCTGAGGAGTCCCAGAATAGGATGCAGCAGGTGTCCAGCGATCGTATGTTTTCATTGATTCGTCAACTGAAGTAAGTTCGTGGTGAATGCCACTTTGAGATCAGTCAGTCCCCATAAACCTCCCAACTAAATTGAAAAGGTAACCTAATTATTGATGGAATATACTCCCACTAAAAACTAGAATTTGATGAGCAATGGGTAAATGAATTTGACAGCTGCTGGTAAAACTTTTGTAATTTGGTGTGAGACTAGAAAAGAAAATTAACTAAATTGGAGTAAATATTATTTTATTTCAAACACTCCAAGGCTTCTTTACAATTTCAATTAGCGTCTACTCTAAACTTTTCACTAGACGCCAAATATTTGTAAAACAGTTCAGTTATATTTTGATCAAAGTTCAAGAATGATATAATGAGATCGAACTGAATTATCAATAAAAGTAGGAATCAGGTTAAATCATCGTGTTTTCAACCTTCACTGTCTATAACAGCGTCTTCTATCCAAATCTATACTTGTTAAACAGAACATGAATTATATTGATCATGATAACTAGCACAGGAATCTTGGATGCACGTTTCATTCTATTTGAGACTCGTCAGCTGGATGTACCTGCGCCCAAGTGAATGAATTAATTTATTAATACTTTTATTTTAAAACAGTATTGTCGAAAGGTGATAGATTTAAATTTGTCACCTACAGTACTTTCATAATTCCCATTGTGACATCAGAAACAAGATATTCAGCGAAGAGGACTCTTTTCCGTGAACACTGCCCAGCCTGGCTGGCAAAGCGAGAA